GGGGTAGGCTGAAGCTCCGAGCATGGGGGAAGGGGAGGGGTGATCGACAACGTCTGAGGTGCAACGAGGCGTGCACCAAAGGGGGGTTGGGGTTGGCGTTGACGGCCAAAAGGTGAGTCGGCTTACCATCGTATCGCCGTCGAGTAGACGCCGGTTTTTTCCCGTCATCGTCTAGTGTCGACGTCAACGCGACGTCGGTATTTGAAGGTTTCTTACTGAAACGGGCCGTGCTTGTCGTTACTTGGCCGAGCATCTTCCTCAACCTCCTCTCTTCTTATCCGACCTGATATTTCAGTCATGTATTCAGGTAATTTACTGTAGCTGTTTTCTTTTCCAGGACGCTCCTTGTTCTTTCCCTCCGACCTCACCCCTCTTGCGCGTTCTCTCTTCCACTCTACTTCTCACTCGCTCTCCCACTTCCCCCCTCTCCGGCCGTCACCATGAAGCGCCAGAACGTCCGCACTCTCTCGCTCGTCGTCTTCACCTTCACCTACCTACTGATCGGTGCGGCCGTGTTCGACGCCCTCGAGTCGGACACGGAGCGCCGGAGATGGGACTACTTGAAAGGTGAGTGAGGCACCCCACCCTCTCTGGCGGACAGGGCCACCAGTCGGCGCACATTCCGCGCAATTCGTGATGCCGTTTTCTTTTCGTGTTTTCAGAGTTCCGAGAGAAGATGATGGACCGCTACAACATGTCTCAAGAGGACTTTACGGTGCTCGAGGTGGTGGTAATTGAGAACAAGCCGCACCGCGCCGGGCCGCAGTGGAAGTTCGCGGGCGCCTTCTACTTCGCCACCGTGGTGCTGGCCATGATCGGCTACGGCCACTCGACGCCCGTCACGGTGGGGGGCAAGGCCTTCTGCATGGGGTACGCCATGGTGGGCATACCGCTCTGGCTCGTCATGTTCCAGAGCATCGGTGAGCGCCTCAACAAGTTCGCGTCAGTGGTGAGTGTCCGTTAGAGTTTTCCATGTTCGAACAAATTGAAAACTTTTCCAGAAATTTTTTGAAA